TATTGGCCATGTTCACATAGGGTTCATGGGACCTGTCAACGTATTGTTTATTGGCCATGTTCACATAGGGTTCACGGGACATGTCAACATTTTGTTTATTGGCTATGTTAACATAGGGTTTACGGGACATGTCAACGTATTGTTTATTGGCCATGTTAACATAGGGTTCACGGGACATGTCAACGTATTGTTTATTGGCCATGTTTACATAGGGTTCATGGTACATGTCAACGTATTGTTATTAGCAATCTTAACATAGGGTTCACGGTATATGTCAACGTATTGTTTATTGGCCATGTTAACATAGGGTTCACGGTACATGTCAACGTAATGTTTACTGGTCGTGTTAACACGGGGTTCACAGGACATTTGTCGCTTCTTGTGCCCCTTATCCACATTTTGTTAGCACATCGTAACGTAGAGAACTAAATCAGTCACACAAGACAGTTAAGATCAGTGAATAACTGAGACAGCACACTGAAACACACTGGATATGAGTTACCATCATAAACATGTGCCGTCGTCTTTGTCGGTTTAGCCATACAGTGCTCCAGTAAGATCCAGGACCCCGCCCCTCTTATGCAGCTCGAACTGCCCCAACACTGACCCACCACCACCCAGGACTCGAACTCGGTTCATCAGGCTGGCTCATCATTACAATGAAATAGCCACACTTCCCGCTGTCCCCCCTCGCCCTATGTACAAATCCAGTAATGAGGTTGTATATGTGGGGCAAGCGCTACATATCTTGTCTTATTGTATACCCATGGACAAATGCAGGAATGAGGCTATATATGTGGGGAAAGCGCTGCAGATCTCATCTTGTTATATACCCATGTACAGCTCCACGAATGAGGATATATATGTAGGGCAAGCGCTGCATATCTTATCTTATTATATACCCATGTACAACTTCAGGAATGAGGCTATATATGTGGGGCAAGCGCTACATATCTCATCTTATTATATACCCATAGACAACTCCAGTAATGAGGTTGTATATGTGGGGCAGGCGCTACATATCTCATCTCACATTGCATCAAGATCAGGTGGTGTTCATTTTATTTCATTTTCCTGGATGTCTAACCTCCGTCTAGCTTGACCACTGTTGCCGCGAGGTGAATATTATTATCGCTGACATTATTTCTATTACTAATTCTCTGTCGTAACAATATTGCCTTTGTATTGTTTATTTCAACTCTGCTATTTTCACACTGAATTATTTCTGTACCTTTGCACTTGATTAGACTCGAACTGGTTTCGTCAGGACACAGCACCACTTCCTATTTCGAATGGTGTGACCTGCTTTCAGTAAAACCTGCTTTCAGGCTCACTCGTCAAGACTCGACCTGGTGTTTTCAGGCCAGAGCCTTCATTTCAGGCCTGTACAGTACAACCCAGACCCAATAATCATTGCATGAAATTTACAGGGAACTGACTAAAACCATGGTATTCTGAATAGGCGGACGTGTTATGGATACTGTATATGAACAAAAATATCTCGGTATGCATTTCACACCTGGACTGAGTAGAGGAATACATGCAGTCTACACTTTAAACAAACTCAGAAAACCACACATTGTCTTTCAAGGCTATTTTTAGTGTTTAAACTCAGTGTAAGTACGACAATGGTCTTGTTTGACAGAATGATCGCAGCTATTTACATCTAAGCCTCTGGGGCCTTATGATATCCACATATGCATTGAAAGGGACATTTAGTTATATTTTTGTAAACAAATATTACAAGTTTGGATACAAATAGTGAATTAGGGAAGTACCCGATATGCTTATACAATTCGTGTCCATGTCATGGCACAGTTAACACGAAGTGTGTTGTAATATGCTACTTTCATCTGATAAAACCGGAGGCCAAACTTCGGTTGGATCGAAATATTTCCATACTGAGTTGTTGATCAGGGTGCTATTCCACTAACCGATCTTAGCCCTACGCCAATCGTAAACCCTAAAATCCCAATCTTAGTGTGACGTTACGATCAGCTTACCGTTCCACTAACCAATCTTACTCAAGTCAATCGTAACGTTAAGATCCAAAGTCTAAGCTTAAGTTGCTCAGGACCAACTTAGGACAGCTAAAATCAATCGTAGAGAAACCAAAGTGGTGGCTTTCATATTCTATATGAAGAAGAAGAAGAGCGAGCATTTCACCGTGAGCGTCTCCTAATAGACCGATCCAGTCCCGGCCGATAAGCCCCGCACACTTCGTTTTTGACGTTAGGGGGGACAACCACTGACTAATCACAAAGGCGTCACCGCCGGCGAACCGTATGTGACTGCGAACGTTGTTGATGAATTCTCTTGTGGTATCCGTCGTTTGTGAATGATATTTAAAGAGGAAAGTTATATGTATTGTATTTTTAATAGATTTTAGTTGACAGATTGCAATTGGCGAGTGAAAATGAGTTACATTCCCGATGAAAAATCGTCTCGGCCAGCTGCTGCTCCTGACCCGAAGCGTGTTTTCTTTCGAACCAAATACTCTATCTGGCAATTCACGTCCGTCTAAATATAAGATATTAGCAGGGGAGGGGTAACTGAATTATGTTTGTTTGTTTTTCTCAAACATTCCCATCGTTATTTTAGAAAATCCCTGAACACAGTGCCACATGTTCAAGTTGCAGAATTTTTCGGTATCTATAAATAGATTGTCAACAGTGCACGTGTATTCATTTATCAGTTGTTCAAATTAAGTTACATCAATAATGTGAAAACATGGGTTTTCTACCTTTTAATGAACAAAGCAGAAAAATATTTCCCGTCTACTACTAGGTGCACCATATTTGTCTGTATATATCAATGTAAACAAATCAATCACAGCATAACCTATATTTGATCTTTCGAGGGAATCTGCAAAAGGTGATTGGGCCTGTAAACATTATGTTTCCATGGATGTATCTGACGTACCAAGACGCAAATATTCAGCAGCTAATCTGCAGCAATTCTCAGTAACATTTCCCTCTTCAAAATCTGTACACCATCCTGAAATGACACTGAACATAAGCAAATCCTTTCCAATGTTTTTTCTATGTTTACTTTGTTGTAGAAACTTAATTTACAAACTTCCATAATACTGGACTTCATGAACTGCCAGCATGTATGTACAGGTATATCACAGCACCAGAACACAAAGAAGATCCAGGATACAGTCTGCACCTTATTGTGTTTTATTACATCTGAGACCATATCCCTAAGGGAGGGACATAACACTGATTTTGATCTATTTCCTTTTTTGGGATACTTAACAGTGTCAAAAAATATATTAAAGTTGTTTCAAAAATTGAAATGTTTAGGAAAACAGACATGAAAATGTCCTGAAGCATTCACCTCCTTCAAACCAGTGTGCAATTTAATATGAAGCTCATTTTCCAAATAACCATCACCAAACCTTGAACAATTTGTCCAAAATCAACATCTTAATAAACACTACTTTGGTTCAGTCTTCAAATATTGGTAACCTCCTTAAAATCTGATGATTTCTAAGAAGTATTACATCAAATCTGGGTTAAATATATGTTTCAATATTCATTCCACTTACATGAATAGTCAACTGAGAATTTTGTAACTTATTCTGTTTCAAGACTGAATCATGGGTGTGACGAAAACGTTGCCTTTTTTCAATTTTTCTGGGTGTTGAAATAACTTTTTTAAGAGTTATGATACTAGTAATCACTTTCAGAATAATTTTATTAGTAAATATATTATTGAAAAAAACAAAGATATCTTAAAACAAGAGTCAACAAGTTAGTTAGTACCACGTGATTGTTCTGCCATGATAAGTATATAGTGTTTAATTTGTTCGCCTAGTTCTGCCTTAAAATCACATGAATCTGATATGTCAGTCAATTAAGTAATTATTTATAATTGATTAGATTATTATTTATTTTATTACCTTTCCACGTTTACTAAAGGACGCAAGATTTTTAAAACATACCTTGCTATCATGTCCAGTGAATTAATTCAATTGACAGTTCTGTTATTACTCCTAAAATGTACCAATATACCTCCCCTACATGTAAAAAATTATGTTGTAACAAAAATTCAAAACAAATAATGTTCTCATGGTTAAGAAATATACTTTTATTTCACTCCGTTTAATATTCCAGAAAGTCACTATTCTTCTCACATAGTTTTCGTCTCCGATCCACACGGAGTAAGGTACAATTCAATTCAAGGTCCCATCTCTTTAAAGAAATTCTAAAATATTTAAGGCATGGTTTTATAGACACTCATTTGAATTAATTTTGATATTTGGATAGGCAACTGCAGACACTGACTACATTTCTGTTTGAATAAAAACATATTACCCCTCGAATATTTTGCACTATTAACAGATACTGTCACTAGGCATTCAAATTGTGCTTGTGAAACTATAAAACATCCAAAAATGTGTGACAAATTTAAGAATATCTAAGAGCGAAGGCAACAATATCCACCACATTGTCCTTTAATGTAACAAGTTTTGCTATTTCGGTCGACCTAACCGAAATCAGATCGCTGTCAGATTTGTTTACATTGTGTCACGGCTTTAAAGCCGTGACACAATGTAAACAAATCTGATAACGATCTGATTCATAATCTCATTTCAGCTTTATGGCGTACCAACTCAATGCCCAGTATTGACTAAAACGTTAAGCAAAAACATTTTTGCAGTTACAAAAAATGTCCGTGTTTATAACACTCGCAAAGACTTAAACTGTTATTTGTTGTCATTCATTGGTAATGATTTTGCACGTGTGCGAAAGTTTGGAAATTCGTGCAAATTCTCACCTTCGAGCAGACGTAGGTTTCGTGAACGATACATGCCGACATTTAACTGATCGCGAGACCTATCGCACTACTTGATCCGCCTCAAATCTTTTGTCTTGATCGTAATGGTTGTGTTAAAGGTACACATGAAATCGCAGCAATATGTAATAGATATAGCAAGTGTGAATGGCATAATTCGAAGCACATCGCTTTGGAGGCATCGTTTGACCCGGAAATAAATCTGACAAATCCACAAAGCGCCCGGCCTGCTGATTGGCCAAAATTGACGCATGCGTCAGTTTTGATTAACAGACTGGATCGGTCGATTCTTTACTAACCATGAAATGAATTTGTTAATTGTGTGATGTAAACAAACACTGCACTGAAGCCTACAAATGTCAGGCCAGTCGGACCACTGTCGTCATGGGAACACAGCCGAGGGTGTCGGTGTAATACATTTGTACAACAATATTACAACGTCATGGTTAAGAATAGGGACGGTTCGTGAAGTGAACAATGTTCTGAAACAAAAAGATACAAATATGTTTCATTTCACGTGCGCTTTTTTGGTAGGGGATTCTAAATTTTAAGGCAGGCCGCGTGTTTTTCAAGACTACTGACTAAACTAGATTCTAGATACGTTATCAGATGATGTGCTTGTGGCGAGGTAGAGGCTAGCCTGTCGTACAGACTCTGAAGCAAATATATCCAAGAAAGCCAACGCAAGTCTAGAAAATGTGGCAAGTCTAGATTTCCTCAGCTTCAGGTCTGCAAATGAAGAAAGTCTCAGGGCTCCTTTTCATTAAATTTCATTTATGTTTTACTATGAACTTTCTTTCAGTAAAATATGTTCATTTCAGAGACTAGTTGTTAGTCTAGGTAGAGGCGTTCAGCCGCACTTGCCCCTGAAACCAAGGTGCTCACCACCCTAATATTTTGCTCGCGGTTTTTTCTCCACGTTTACACTTAGTTCGAAAACTACTTCCTCGCATTTCTCTATCTCTCGCACGAAAGAGTCTCGATCTAAGCTTGGATCGGATCGTAAGATCGGGACCGGCTACAAACGGCCTAAGATCGGTTAGTGGAACGGGTGTAACTTTTTTTTAGCTAAGAGGATTGTAAAATTGGTGTAACTTGCTAAGATTGATCTCAGATAAGATCGGTTAGTGGAACGGCACCCAGTACAAGCAGTCAAGCGCCAAACGTTGCCATGCTTCTAACCTGAAACGTCACAATGACGTCATAGCTGGCAGCTTTGCGGCCGTGGTGTCGCCAGTCAAGGCATTTTATAACTAGCAGTGAGATGTGTGGCTCGTGTTAGGACGTACGTTATTGGTGGTAAGTTCTCAGTTTCTACTTTTAAACTGATTTAGGAAATTAGACGAAATAGTGTAAATCTATATTGTAAAACTGCTGTAAAGCAGTATGAAGGTTACAGGAGATTTTAAGTTTCATCCTTTGAACTGATAACATTTACAACAGTCAAGGAAGATTTTATGAGATTATTTGAAATCTCTCCAGTCAAGTAACGGATGTGTTTCATGTGCATATTCGGACACTTGACGTCATTTCCATAGACTTACATGATATTTCAGTGTAGCATAAATAATTTTCATGAGGTGAGTTTAGAATAGATTTTTCTCAAATTTGACAGAGAAATTTGAAATCATCTCTGCTCTGCGCTCATAATTTCAGTTCAATTCTCCTGACCACTATGTAACTAATGACATCACATTTATCCACTTACTTATAGTTCCACAATGCACAATCCCATAGGCCGCCATGTTAAAGGAAATCACGGCACTGTACACGTGTTGATTATATTGTTGTCATTCGATAAATAAGCAACGGAAAATTAAACAGATATTATGTGATTGTAGGTAAGATGATTCCTCACAAATATGCAAAATTTTGACTTGGATCATACGAAAATTAAATTCATGAAAATTCTTTATGCTACATCAGTGTTGGCTGAAGAGCGCGTTTTTGCGTCTTGGACGCACCTGCGTAACATGTGTGGGTCTCCTGGACGCATCGACTCGAGCAGTATTAATTTTGTATCACAAATCAAAAACGTACGGCTTTGTGTGTGCATATCCTGGCGTACTGGACCAGTTATTTAATGTCGAACAGTCTGCGAAACATGTTGATAAACTCTTCCGGTTGTTAAACCAAACCGGTTTTATTTGTCTCGCACTTTTTATCACCACTACTCAAACCGGTTGCTTGACCTACATATATTTTCAGTTTTGCATATGTTAATGTACGGTATGGTCCGTCGGTTTCCGTCAGCCAATCAGATACAGCCTATGAAGCTGCTCGGCAACGTTGTTAGCTTGGCGATTGGTCGAAAACATCACGACCTTGTGTCAAACTAAAAATAGCCAGGCACGCCAAGGGTATACTTCAAAACGGGGTAACGGCGCGAACAAGCAACAGAATATGTATAATACAGAATAAATGCGAAAACTTGAATATGAGCGTTGTTTTTCTTTTGTCCACCCTAAATATTTCGATATTCTACAACAGACTAGTTGTGTTTTTAATTCTTGAAATTTGTCACTGTCCACGAACGTTTGTTATTTACCTTGTTCTGTGAAATACGGCACATCCTTATAAGGAAGTCGTTTACTACGCTAGCGTAAATTTGACAGCTCCAGCGATGACAAGCCATCGTATTCAGGCAAGTTTAGTCAGTTGGTTTGGCAATACTACTGCCCATAAACCATCACCAGCTGAGAAAACTGGTGAAAACAATGACACGGAAAATGAAACTTTGCCAAAGAAACAAAAAGTTGAAAAACGGTTTCAAAGTGACTGGCTTACAAAGTACAGTTGGTTAAGATTTGACACATCACTTGGTATGACTTGTCATGTTTGTATTTCTGAAACCAAGACCAATGCATTTACTGTTGGCTGCCATAATTATAGGCATTCCACTCTGGTAAGGCACATGAAAGCTGATGACCACAATTCTGCTATTCAAGCTACATCTCTGAGACAGAACATGTCCACAGTTGTTTTCAAAGTGCTAAATGACAAGGAATGTGCAGTTCAATCTGCAATGCTGAATATATACTAGCTGGCAAAGGAGCAGATTGCCTCATCAAAATGTGCTGCATTGATGGAATTATGCATGCTTCATGGGCTATCATTTCCAAAAACATTAGGTTGTGATTCAGACTCTATGAAATACACATCTCACTGTGCAGTTGACGACATGCAAGATGCAATAGCTAATTCCTTTCGTGTCTCAGTAACCAACAAAATCAGTGCTAGTCCTTGTATATCCATATTGATTGATGAAAGCACAGATATATCAGTTACAAATTTAAAGAAACTCCTAATCTACACAAGATCTCTCAATTCAGAATTTGATGTTGAAACAAATTTCCTTGCTAATGTGCAAATTCCTGATGGCAAGGCTACTACTCTTCTAGAAACTGTCAAAAAAACATTACAGGATCGTAGCATTCCTATGTCAAAAATCATTGCTGTGGGGTCAGATGGGGCTGCTGTTATGACTGGACGCAAGAATGGTTTCGTAGCATTGCTCAACAAGGAATCAACTGTGTCTGTCATCGGTGTCCACTGCATTGCTCATCGCCTTGCCCTGGTTACTAGCCAGGCTGCTGAAAATGTTCCCTATCTGAAGAAATTTCAAGGGACATTATCAGACATTTTCTATTTCTTCAAGAAATCCTCTGTCCGACGGGAACGTCTTTATGCACTAGAGGAGGTGCTTGAATGCGAAAATGTCACATACAAAGAAATTCACAGCGTCAGATGGTTTTCAATCTACAATGCTTTGGAGGCTGCATTTAGGTAAGCTACATCTTCTCAAATATATTGTCCAGTTTTATGCTAAAAATAAGCTCTGAATTTTTTTAAAAAAAAACTTGAAGTTCTTTCAAACATCTTAATCTTTGCAATAGATTTACATAAATATTGTTTGATAATTTATATTACAGGACTTGGAAGCCCTTGGCTCTGTTCTTGGAGAGTGAGCGGGTGGAAACAAACAACAGTACTGCCAAAGGCATCTTGCAGCGCATTTCCTCTTTCAAGTTCCTTCTTGTCCTTCACCTTCTGATGGACATCATCCCCACCATGACCAGACTAAGCCTCCAGTTTCAGAAGGAGGACATAGACCTTGCTGCACTGAGGCCATCCATTGATGCTGTTATACAGGTATGATGAAAGCTATATGTTTGCAATCAGTTTCAACCAAAACAATATATGAAGCAAACTTTTCTTCAAATTTGAAACAATTACTTGGTTCTTACTCAGGATAATATGAAATAAATGCTCCTTGATTGAGAACTTTATTCTAAAGTCTCAGTTTGCATGTTACTCTGTTCTAGCAACTGCAGTATTTGAAGGAAGAAAATGGACCGGCACCTGTACAGTTTGAAAATCAGTGTCCAACGGGAAGCTGCGAGTTTGATGGTGTCCCAATAACATCAGAGGCTGGCGCTGAGAAGCGGTTCTCAAATGTTCGGGCTGCTTTCCTGCAAAACCTAATGAGCGAGCTTGAGTGCAGATTCCCAGCTGTGGCCACTAATGTTGTGACATGCATGTCAGTACTGTTACTGAGGGGACTCTCTTTCTTGTCTGAAGGTAACATAACTGTAAAATGTGTTATCAGTTTAGCCTATCTCATGAAAACAGACAAAGTTTCATGAAACTACAGTATAATTTCAGAAAATATATTGATAAAAAACACAATTTTACGATAGACTGTAGATTCATTTTAAATAATCTTCATTCTACTTTTTTTAAAGTAAGATCATTTTCATATTGTGATGATACAAACATTTCACAACTGATGTGGAACTGGTCTGAGTTAGTATTGTTTCGATATTCATTTGCTGTTGCAGATGCTAGAAAACACTGGGGTACAGAACAACTTCAAAACATCATTGACTTCTACAGTCATCGTGAGAAGACCTTTGTAGATGCTGAGGAGACCCTGAGAGAATGGGCAATGTGCAAGGATAAGGATATGGTGCATCAGCAGCATTATCCTTGTACAAGTATCTGTCAGTTATGGCAGATACTGTCGTCAAGACACCCTGATACATTTCCAAATCTGTTCAAGATTGCACAAGTCGCTGTCCTGTTGCCCCTTCAAACAGCAACTGTTGAGAGGGGTTTCAGTGTTCAAAACCTCATAAAGAGGTCACACAGAAACAGGCTATCATCAGAGCGGTTTGACACGCTGATGCAGCTGGCTCTAGGGCCTCCTGTAAGGGATGTTTCTCTTGCACCAGCCGTCACCAAATGGAGAAGTGACAAAAAGAGAAAGCTGTTTTGCTAAAACTAATGTTGTTGATGTTTTCACAGTTCCAAATTGAAATCTGATTTTTTACAACCAATGTGTTGTGTTGTTTATGCTATATTACAAACCAAAATATGGACCCATCCATTTTTGGGGGGACCCCTAATTTTTAAAAGAAGGGGTCCAAGTGACCCCAAGAAAATTTAAGCCAGAGCAGACACTGCTACATTAAATTAACATGTTTACAAGTCTATGGACGTTACGTCAATTGTCCGAAAATAACTGGCCCGGGTCTATAGCTTGTGTTCTGCGTCAATGAATAACTGCATTGCATTGAAATACAGTAATTGGACATAAGTATTCGTCATTTTGCATAATTTCTACAGACTTAATTGTTAATTTGGTGCAGCTAGAAACATCATCTTGATTTTATTTGTAGTTTGATCTTGTTCATATTTTACACATGGGTCATGAATCATCTCAGCTGCAGAGACAAATTTCCGTTCTATTTTCCATTCAGTATTTCAAGAATGACTGCACTTTGATTGATGCGTGTCATGGTTAAGACAATTTTTAACATGGCAGTCTATGGGGAAAGAATACACAAGGTTGTATATATGTGCTCATGTCACTACAATGCGGACAATACTTGAAGGAACATTACATGGAAATTATGTATCTGTGACCAAGATGATTTCCTAACAACCTGCAAAATTTGACAACCAAATAACGAAAACCGAATTAATGAAAATTATTACAGCTACACTAAATAACATGCAAGTCTATGAGAATTTTGCCGACTGACGAATACTTATGTCCCATGAGTGTACACCCCCCCTTAAAAGCACACGACCAACAGTGTCAGCTGAATGTTTACATTGAAGGCCTGTAGCTTAGCTCTTTTAACACTGAAACCTTTATGTGGAACACATGTATTTCTGCAACACTTTTAAAAAATGCAGTAGAATGTAGATTATGGAAAGGCAACTATGTTTTTCTCGTTATTTCTAATATTGAAACATTTCGATCTTTACCACCTCACACTGCCACGTGTTTGTACCCTTGTTGTTTATCAAAGCACGTTGCTTCCAACAACAAGTGCGGTTGTGTCAGCTACAGTTTCCGCCTCAGTTAAGAGTTGTTTGAGAATTGCACTGCCGGCATCGCTCGATATGCTGACATTTTGTGAGTGCTTCACAGAGTGTGCCTGACACAAATTACAACTGTGTTGCACAAACACCGAGGAAAGTTGCCATGCTGCCCTACACATTGCGTGATAAACACTGTTAAGTTTTAATCTGCTTCACATCAGAATTTACGGAATTGCCTAAAATACCATGTACACTAAACAGGGAGGGTGGGGTGGGGACATAATGGAAAGGCATTTTGAATTCCAGTCACGATTAATGAAGTCAGACTAAGCAGGTGGTGATTCCATAAAGATGAATTATGAGTAGGTATAAGTGCAGATGTTTTTGTTTCTTTATCTACTGTACTGTATCTACTGTAAATAATGATGTATGTATATATATGAAGTCCCCGTAGAATATACCCGCCCCTAACCTAGCCCCAACCCTGGGGGCGAACAGATTCTTTAGTTTCACCGTTAATGTTTATATTTAAAAAAACACAACAACAATCTATTCAGTTACAACACTTCAACAAAGAGGAGCATTTCAGCTGTTAACATACAGTCAGTGCACAGCTTATTACATTTTCAGATTTAAACTGTAAAAATAAATTTAGGAAGTGTTCTTTTTTTTCCTGCAGAGACACGCGGTTTTTTATGAAGAGGTATCTCAATCAAATCAAACCACATATTAATATTTAATACCTCTGCTATAACAGACGTATTTTGAATTTATTCATACATACTATTGAAAGGCAAAACATTTGTGAGAAAGAGAAAACTGAGACCAGTAGTTATAATGCTTATGTGCTATGTATAGTTTTCTGACTAAAATATTCCCTGTTTCAGCCTCCACTGACCCGAGCCCGAGCAACACGGCTTCACTAGCGCCAGTGACGACACAAGACTCTGATCTACACGGTAGGTTAGAAAACCCAGCAGGCAGGAAGCTCAGTCCTTAATTTTTCTTCCATTTAACACGCTGATGTATATACCTGTGGAGAATCTGACTTGAGGGATGAGTCTCACCTATTATATCGATCGACGTTCATGTTGTCAATCACAGGATTTCAAACTGTAAAAGCTAAATTTAGGAAGGGTTACTTTTTTCCTGCACAGACACGCGGTCTCGATGAAGAGTTATCTAAATCAAATTGAACCATATATATTTAATACTTCTTCCATAAAAGATGTATTTGGAATTAAATCATACATAATATTGAATGGCAAGACACATGTGGAAAGGCGAAAACTGAAGCTAGTAGTTATATAGTTTTGTGAACAACATATTTCCTGTTTCAGCCTCGACTGACCCGAGCCCGAACACCACGGTTCCACCAACGCCAGTGACGACACAAGACCCTGATCCACACGGTAGGTGGGAAAACCCAGCAGGCAGCCTTATATCTTATTGCCCTAATAAATACCAAACAACATTTGTACTGACATTATCAACTTGTAAAGTTCAACAAACATCATCACTCTCAACTTCTGGTTCTAACAGAAAGTTCTGTATTAAACACACCATCCATAATTCCAGAAAACACATGTTGACATTCCCGCCATGTTGTATTGTTGTCAGCCATGATGGAATTGTTTAAACGATGTAGCAATGTCCGAGTCACGTATCACATGATAAAAACATTGTAGATGTGTGACACAGATGTCTGATGTACACAGTTTACTTTGTGTTGCGGCGACTCCATCACCAGCAGCAGGCCGCGACCTCTACTCCGCCAGCAGGGACGGTGACCTGGAGAGAGTTAAGCGGATCCTGGCAGCGGGTCACGTGGACATCAACACTAGAGGAGGAGACTACAGCTGGACACCGGTGATGAGGGCAGCATTTTGGGGACACAGAGATGTGGTGGAGTTCCTGGTGGGTAGAGGGGCTGATGTGTCGCTGGTCAGCAGGACCGGTAACAACGTCCTTCACTGGGCCTGTGCTGGTGGAGACCTGGAGATCGTGAAGCTGATCGTGTCCCTGAACGTGGTGGACATCAACGCCAGGGACAACAGCGGGTCGACAGCGGTCGACAGGGCGAGACGCTATGGACATCAGCGAGTGGCGGAGTTCCTGCTGTCACGTGGTGGACACTGAAGTCGGTGTAGGTGTGGACAGCGACGGAGCACATGTCGTTACTGACACTGACGAGGTGTGTGCCGTCCACGTTCTCGTGTGTCACGATTCACGCGACTTCCTTTTACTTTCTGAATGTAAATTAAACTTGTTGAAAGTATTTTCAGACATTTTGTCATTTGTTGTGTTTGGAACCTCGCAGGATCAGGTAAGAAAATTGTGAAGTGAGTGTAAACATAAACCGTGAGTGATTGTACGTAAACGTCGCCCGTTTTAACATAATTCTGTGTTAATTTTGTTCTGAGAATATCAAAGAATGACAAAGAGCGGCGCAATGCTGGCATTGTGCCATACAGCACAAACAGTATTTGTCAAATACCATGTGTTGGGTATCGTTTAACAAGGGAAGGATGGACATCTGTAGCTGATTACTACTGAGATTTAACCCTTTTGGTGCCACAGGGAAGTGTACCCTTTCTGTAGTGACAAAACACACAATATACAAAATCAAACACATGACAATCATCACCCACAACATCTCATATTTGTTAACCCTGGATGCCAGAATGACAAACACCTCCCCCACGTCTCTGTTTCCTGATCTAACATATCGTTCTTTAGGTAAAGCACAATTGATGAAATGACCGATAAGAATTATGTACATGGTAAATCTCGCCATTTTTGGACACATGAAGAGTTCGCCATTCGTAGCATCGTTTACTGTATGTTGTAAAGGTAAATATCGGATATTAAACCGTTGAACTGAATTTGAAAAATAGCCAGTTAGTGATTAGTGGTATGTGGTTTGTATCAAGTCGCCAATGACTATACTGAAACCCGGCCTATAACCATGAAATCGTTTGGACTGTCTCGGGAGCAGGCAAACACACACGCCGAAGGGAGCTCTCTGTTATGTTTGATAGTGTTTACTGAAGCATGTTTCACGTAAGCTGGTCATGAGATGCCAATTACATCACAAATATTTAACACTCAGCTCTCAACACACACCTCCTTGAATTCCTCATACATTTTACAATCAATAATGCCTGATGGTTTTTGTTACTAGTTCAAATAGTTGATAATATCAAGCCCCTGGATGTCGAGTTTTGTGACACAAGTCTGAAAAGTGAACGTAGTGCGAGGAATGATCTGACAACGTTATGCATTCAGTATATATTGTGGCTTGACATAACTGACACACACATAGAGACGAGGGGCGTAACTCCGCTATGCTTTACACGATGTCATTGTGTAACTCAGGTCACATATTTGTTAAAATGAAAATTCAACTGTACTATGGGCCACTGTGCCTACATTACTGAATAAAACCTGTCTGTCTGTCTGTCTGTCTGTCAGGTCACTTGGAGAGAATTCACTGTTGGGAAGGACACTTTATTTTCGTGAGGTTTCGTTCACGATGAACCAGACTATTCCAATACACATTGTAACCGGATACGTTTTGGTAGTATCACAAATTACAAGAAATGTTGAAAGCACACAACATGAGAAATCATTACCTCATGGTTTGTTTTATAGATTTGTTTGCGACGTCGGAAAATAGGGCATTTGTATGTCCATTAGTTAATATATGTACCTCACATAATGTACGTAGATTCTATAGAGACTTCGTTTTGGCAGCCGTGCTTTCCACAGAACATGAAATGAATGACTTAGAATTTAAATAAATGTCCTGAATAGTTGATTGTATATTTTGATTTACCGTACATGAAACAGAATAGTTCAAAACATATGAGCATATTTTCAGGATAAGAGTATCCTCTGTTCATGATGATGTTACTATTTCTCTACAAAAGTAAACAATTAAAGATGAAAAAATAGACCCTTTTGTATGGAACTGTCAGAATAATTATGTGAAGTTTGTTCCAAGGAATATTGACTATTGCACACCATATGTACAAAAGCACGTGATGCAGTTAATGCCTACATTTCATCTAACACTTGTGTACAGGTTACAAATTTTAATATTATTATGGTGTCCTACACTAACTGTGTCACTTTCGTCTTTAAATATTGTTCAAACAAGCAGACACTTGCAAAGGATACAAACACGTATAGCCTATATCCATGTATGATATCATACTGAATAGACCATGTATGATATCATACTGAATAGCCTATGTATGATATACTGAATAGACCATGTATGATATCATACTGAATAGACTATGTATGATATCATACTGAATAGCCTATGTATGATATCATACTGAATAGACTATGTATGATATTATACTGAATAGACTATGTATGATATCATACTGAATAGACTATGTATGATATCATACTGAATAGACTATGTAATTTATCATACTGAATAGACTATGTATGATATCATACTGAATAGCCTATGTATGATATCATACTGAATAGCCCATGTATGATATCATACTGAATAGACCATGTATGATATCATACTGAATAGCCTATGTATGATATCATACTGAATAGCCTATGTATGATATCATACTGAATAGCCTATGTATGATATCATACTGAATAGCCTATGTATGATATGATACTGAATAGCCTATGTATGATATCATACTGAATAGCCTATGTATGATATCATACTGAATAGCCTATGTATGATATGATACTGAATAGCCTATGTATGATATCATACTGAATAGCCTATGTATGATATCATACTGAATAGCCTATGTATGATATCATACTGAATAGACTATGTATGATATCATACTGAATAAGCCTAAATGTAAATATTCTTCAACTGATGAAGGAGTAAGTATTTACTCGAAATCATTGTTTTTCTCATAATAAAGAGGTTGACATCCATAAACCTCTCTGCCTTATGTGTATCGCTTCTGACTGGCCTGAAGGCTAAATGTAGATTATGAAATAAGCTTCGCGAATCAATATCTGAAAGATATATACATTATCAAAGGCTAAGTAGCTTGACGGTGTGACTGTGTTTAACGACTTTTATCTTAAACAAATTGCTCAACATTTACAACAATGTTGACATACGACATCACTACCAATAACAGATTTTTTAA